CAGAGGGTCGCCCCTTCCTCCGCCGCAGCCCCGCCGGGCCGGCCCCTGGGGCCCCGCTGTCCGCAGCGGGCCCGACCTCTGCTCCTCGGCTTGCTCTGTTGGGTCTACGTGGGGGCACTGCTGCGTTGTGACAGTAACAGCGGCAATACTGCTGCTCGCTTCGGCGCTGGTCTGGGGAGCGTCTGCTCGCTGAGGGCCAGACGGGCCCTTCGGAGCCGTTCAGCGAGACGCAGAGTTAGTGCTGTGCGTCAGCAACGTGAGCGGGAATCGTGACACCGCAGCTCCTGGGCAGAGCGTTCCCTGGGTCTGCAACGCTGTGGTAGCACGCTGATGTCACACAACAGTGGTGCAATGTGCAAATTAAATGCCATGCCATGTGGTTTAGTGTTATTGGTTCCCTATAATGTAAAAAGGCAAAAAAAGCCTTTTCAGAGCTGCACGTGCCCAAACGTTCATACCGTGAGCAGTATTAAAAAGCAGCAGCCTTGAAATAAGTTGATGAGCTCTTTGGTCAATAACCATTGAAGAGCTAAAGAGCTTAAATCAAGTACATGTGTATCAGCAACGTTGACAGGAGGGCCACGCTGGATAGCACAAAGCAGGAGCCTCCTGCTCACTCTGCAACATGTAGCCTGTGCCATTTGCAAGGCCTTGGGAAGGGTTAATCCTCCCTCCATTAATCTGACCCTTGTCTTAAAACTGATTGTTTTTAATGATCTGCGCCGGGTAGCTATGCGAACATGTTTCTGTTCTCCGCTGGAAGTCTGTAAACCTAGTGTAACTCGGCTGAAGTGGTATCAAAGTACAAGAAAACAAAGCGAGGGCCTCAAGACTGACACCTTTGTCCTTTAGCTCCTGTAGCCTCACGTGGTTTGTGCTCCTGGGTTTCTCGCAAGGATGTGCAGCAGGTTCCCCCTTCTGGCAGCATGGGTTCCAGGACAGCAAGCCATCTGCTCCAGTCTCTAATCATTCCCAGATGCTTTCAATTACTCTTTAGCAGCAAAAAAGACATATTTTTGTGACCAAGGATGTTGGAATCAACATCCGCAATCAGCCTCATTTCTGGCTTATGATGGTTAAACTTGAAGACTGATGGAAGAGGCTCGGGAAGACGTCAGGAGAATGTGTAATGAAGTACGTTGACGGGGAAGGAGCAAAAGAAGAATCAGCTGATAGGGATTCTAATACCCTAACAATTACAAGTAAACTAAGGCTTGAGGCTAATTAACACTTTTTAAATTGAAGATGCAGAAGCTGATTTTCCACTTCTTTTCCCAGCCACTCATCTCTCGCTAAAGTGGCTGCAAAGTAGGCACGAGAACTACCTGCTGGTTTGGGACCATTTTTCTACAGGTGGAGGAGACTCTATGGGTAAACAGCACTAGAGAATTAGGACTCTGGGTCCTAATTCTGTCTGCTGGGTGTTCTCAAATGTGTAATAAAAAGACTGACAAACACTTGTGCTAAACCAAAATTAAGGCTTTGAATATTGCCCCAGTAAATTAAGTTTAACTGTTATCAGATTATTTTCTTTATTACAAAAGAAAATATTAATATATCCAGGAGATTTCTTTAGATGCAACTGAAACGTGGAAATACACATTGAAGACCACCAGATGTTTAACACTGCCAAACTGAAATGTCACAAGGGGAAAAACCTGCTGATCAGTCTTCAAGATTATGTATTTCGTAAACAGACCTAGGATGATAAATCCATGTCTTTATCAGGAGTGCTTTTTTTATTTCTTAGCATTTGTAATTTAGGAAGGACTGAATACACACGCATGCAAAACATTCATTTCTAGAGTCTGGTTTGCTGTCTGTCAGTCATAACACTAAATTTTATATTTTCTTTTAGCAAAAGTTGTCTTTCACACATTGGCCTTAATTTCATTTAAATAGAATGTTAAACCATCGTTTATTCCCAAAAATTAATGGCTTAAAAAGTGCCATACTTTGGAAAACTTAATAAGGAATATCATACTTGGCCCTTTACAGCCAAGAAGCCCCCTTTGGTTTATATCAATTTTTCTTTTCCCGACTTTCTCCTTCACTTTTGTTCCACATCTATTGTGGCTTCTTGTTCGATACAGTCTCCTGTCGAGCAATTCGGACCATGCTATTGTTCACTTTAACTTGAGAGAAGACATTAAATTATATCTTAAGAAATCAAGTTTCAGCTGTTGGCTTCTTCCTTTCCCAGTTCTCCTCTGCTATAATATTGCTGATTGAGCAGAGAGGAGGGGCAGAAATTGATTCCTGTGTTATTAATGATTTGGTTTCCGACAGTTGTAAGGAGATTCTTCCGGACCAGCAAGGCACCAGTTTGCTTTCATTGATGATTGGTAGTTCAGACATTTAGAAGGGTATCATTGCAATTGCTGAGGACTGATCTATCTGCCTCATTAGCAATACAGTCCCATTTCTCCTCCGTGGCAGTCCGACACGATCAGCACAGACGTATCTGAAATTGTAACTAACACAGCTCTCTCTTTCCCCCCAGTAAATTTATAAGCCTATCATCAGAGAATTATTGGCAGTAACGATACCTGGGATCAGCTCTCTCTTAATTTAAAAAAATATGGATGCAAAGAGATATATTTTGACCTTTTGGGCCCAAACATACATACCTACTTCCACTAACCCACTTTGAAGTCTCGGAGGGGGGAAAAATAAAACGCCTTAGTATGTCTGTAAAATTCACATATTTTAGAAACACATTAAAGAAAATATGCAATGCTTTGCATTTCTTTAGCTCCAGCTGAGACTTTCCAGACACACTGCAAGTTTACTAATGCCCACAACATCACTATGAGCTAGGTGTTCAATGAAGGCTTTGGGTCAAAAAGGTTGGCAATTTACTTGCAGGCACACGAGCGGTAGCATAGCTGGGCTGGAAACAGAATCCACAGTTCCTGAGTCCCCATTGCCACTTTCCTTCGTAGCCACTACATGTGGCTATGAAGGAAGTCATTTGCAACACTCCATATGTAATTTGAAGCCTGTCTGAATATCCGAAGAAGAGGGAGGCTTTTTTGGTGTTTCCAATTAATTACTGAGAACCTTATTACAGACACCGTGGAAATATTTTAGAAACGCTTACTATTAAATACATTTTGGCAGCCATAATAAAATACTTTATAGAACCAGTATTTTGCATTACGGTTGTTTTAAATTTGGACATTTTATTTTTTTTTTAATAGCATCACCATTAGAAGCATGTAATCTTTCGTGGTCTTCAGTGGCCTCAATTCTCAATCATTTTAACAGAAGCTGATGTAGCATTGTTTATGTGGTGTTCACCACCTTGCGACATGGAACACTTGAGGTTCAGATAATGATTTATCTATTTTGTCCTTCTTGATTTGAAAGAAGGTACTGTTGCTAACATCTGTATACAGTTTTCATTTATTTCGAATAAAAGAGAGAACATTCCTCCAAGGTCG